AAAAGAGGAACCAAGGAAGCAGGTGTGGGCAGTGGGAGCCTTGAAAGTTCTGTTTTTTCTTTTCCTCTTTCTTTTTCTTTTCCTCTTTCTTTTTCTTCTTTCTCTTTCTCTTTGGGAATGCAAGCACCTGACTTAAGCTTTGATTGCTGAGGCTTCACTTCAAAGGGACATTTACTTCAGAGATGGCCATCTGGAATAACCACATGCCAGCCACATAACTAGATAAATTGCCAGTTTGCCTCACTCCAGTGAGGCTCCGATGCTTAAGGATTTTGTCTGAGTTCAGTAACAGACCACTTGGGCAACTTGTTTGTTTCTCTTCCTGCACTTAAAATTCCTACTGTTGTGTTTTAAATTCACCAATAAAGAGCAAGTCTGCAGGCCAAAACAGGTTTGGTTCAGTGGATAGAGGGTCAGCCTGCGGACTAAAGGGTCCTGGGTTCGACTTCGGTCAAGGACATGTACCTTGGTTGGGGGGCACATCTCCAGTAGGCGGCAGCTGATTGGTGTTTCTCTCTCATCGATGTCTCTAACTCTCTATCCCTCTCCCTTTCTCTCTGTAAAAAAAAATCAATAAATATATATTTAAAAAAAGAGTAAGCCTGTGAAACCTTAGGCCCCACACTCTACCCCTGTCTTTTGATACAGAGCCCCGGCCAAGAACCTAGAAGGGTAGATGGAAAGATTTTTTTTTTCTCCTCTACAAACATATTTTATTCTAACACTATGAATTTATCAAGATCTCTTCCTTCACCTTTAATTGTACTGTTGGCACAGTGGTCGGCAAACTCATTAGTCAACAGAGTCAAATATCAACAGTACAACGATTGAAATTGCTTTTGAGAGCCTAATTTTTTAAACTTAAACTTCTTCTAATGCCACTTCTTCAAAATAGACTCACCCAGGCAGTGGTATTTTGTGGAAGAGCCACACTCAAAAGGCCAAAGAGCCGCATGTGGCTCAGGAGCCACAGTTTGCCAACCACGGGCCTAGACTGTGCTTTCTTTGCTGCAGCACTATTGTGGACATAATAACTCTTTGCTATGAGAGGCTGTCTGTCCACTGCAGAATGTTTTGCAGCCTCTTTGGCTTCTATTTCCTAGATGCACGTGGTGGCGGTTAGAAATGACTCCGGGCATTGCCAAATATTTTTAATTTCAGTCAAACAACACATAATTTTTTACTATCAGCATATCCCATGCAATATTTCAGAAATTTATTTAAAATTCAAATTTAACTGAACATCTTGTATTTTTATTTGCTGAATGTGGCAGGACTACCTGGGGGCAAAATCACCTCTGGGAAAGGACTCACTGGCTTAGAGTTAAATATAAGGGTTTTTACCAATTGCAATGAGTCAATTGTGTTTTGATTGGTTTGTTTGTAGAGTCACCCCTACATTGACAGAGTTCACCTTTCATAATCATAACGAACATTGGGCTTTGAGAACCACATTGTAGGGGAGAAAAGATAAATTTTCCTATGCCCTTGGAGGCTCTTGATTGAGGTTCCCCATCCCATAATAGAAGAAAGATTAATAAGAGAAAAACAAACAGAAGTTGAACATGTATGACTCATGTAAACATGGGAGATGCCCAGGAAAACTGAGTAAAACTCCCTGAAGTGGCCAAAGCCAGCACTTGAGATACCATTTTGAGCTCAAGAAAAAAAGAGAGATGTTAGGGAGCTGCAGTTATGGAGGTTACTAGGAAAAGTATACCAAGTAAGGATCAAGTTTGTTATGCAGGGTCTATGGCTTCTCCACTGATAATGTTACTGGAGAATTGCGGGGGGCGAGGGGGGGGGGGAAGAGGGGGTGGATTCTTGAGATGCCACTGAAATAAGCATTTCCTGGAGGCCCCCATGGGAAAATGAGATGCGGTAGAAAGCTTTATTTCAGTGGAATTACATCTGTCCCTGGGTTTCTAAAGTCCCATTTCCCTTAAACCTGTCCTGGAAAAGGGACAACTAGGGATTCAGCAGACCTAAAAGCAAGGCCAGCCCCCAAAGTTTGTTTCTCTGCCATGGTGCAGTTGAGTTCAGTACAGCATCAGATTAGTTCCAGTTCGTTAGTCCATTGTGTGTGGGACCCACCTATTGTGCTATGGGTCATATGAGCCAGTGCAGAGTGTAAGAGCCCCACAAGCCAGGAGTCAGGCGTGAGCAGCAAGAGAGAGAGGGGGAACTCCTTTGTTCAGGAGCTGATGTGTCTCCTATCGTCCCATGCTTACAGTCATCATGCCTTCTCTGAGCAATGACCTGTTCCCAGTGTGACCCAGTCACCCTGACCTCATGAGCATACATTTATTTGACCCTCCTTTGTTCCTTTCCAGTTAATTAATAACCGGGATAGATACCACCATATGATAAGAGTTTCCAGAGATTTTGAGTCACCCTTCTCCTCCTGGTACAGACAGGAGACACCTTTACAAATGGAGACTTATTTTATAAATTTGAATATCCCTTACAACAGGTTGAATTTCACTCTATTTTCAGAGATCCTCTTGTGTGTCTACAATTTTTCAAAAATAACCAATTCAATGTAATCTTTATACCAAAAAAAGGCCTTTTTAGAATGGCATTTTTTGCTAACCTTCAAGATGCAGGGAAGAGAGAGAGGTGAGTTGTGGTCCTGATAGGAAATTAAAGAAGCCTAAGTTCACTCAGAGAGAAAGAGCTTGGAGAAGGAAGCTAGTAGCAACCTTAACAGAGAGGTTGTGAGAGCAAAGAGTTCTGCCGCACACGCTAGTTAAGAGAGGTTACAAAAGAAACTAAAAGAGGTTATGAAAGATTTGCATAAGAAAGTGACGGACCTGATGGAAATAACAATGCTTACGTTTATGGAAAATACACTTAAGTGTATTAAGAAACTAAAGAAATTCAAAGAAAAGCAAGTCAATGAGGAAGTCAACTGCAATCTCCGAGGACATTGCAGACTTCCATTTCCATCAGACACCCACACTCTTAAACTCCTACCGGTTGGCTCCAAGTCCAAGTCCATAGTAAAGTAGGTAATTCTTGTTATAACAATAATAGAGATGATTCACATGTGATCAGTGGCAGAGGAAGAATTTCCCTGAATGGGCTCAGGTCTAGAATCCTGGTCCTTAATCTTGGCCACTAAAGAACCTTAACTAATTGCCATCAACTACATCAATTTGCTTGGAATGACTGAACTGTTTCTCTCATGGGTGTGTGTGTGTGTGTGTGTGTGTGTGGGCATTTTAAATCTGGAAAAGTTTAACATTTTGTGATGACTGAGTTAAGTTCAGAGAAAATGTGTGAGTATCCGATATTAATATAGAAAATGTTTACAATGTTTAAGGGATTTGATATGGTACCATGTTTGATCAAGTGACCTGGTAATTCCATTTAAAATGTATAATAAAGTAATTGATTTTAGGCTTACAACTTTTAAATTGAATATTATAAAATAACTTGGCTAAATTTGTGAACAGCATTAAAATGTTTAAGACAACTTAATATTCATTAACTACACTAATAAAAGAGTAACCTGATAATTGACCGTACCATTGCAACACCCACCAGCCAATCAGGAGTGAGTATGAAAACTAAACCTACAATGATGGTGGGTTAATTTGCATACATAGGCACCAAGTGGTGGGGGGGCAGAGCGGGGCGGGATGCTTGTGTCCTAGAGAAATATGGTGGGTGTTGGCCTAGGAGGAATGGTGGAGCAGGTGAGTGGGGGTGCCAGACCAAGGTGGGGTGCTGGTTGCTGTTATCATGGTCCCAACTGGCGCTCAGACCTGCTGCCAGACCTGGTTGCCTCTCAGGGCTTCTCCACCTCCCCCTGCTCCTGAGGGCGATGCACCCACTGCTGCTGCTAGCCCTAATCACTCTGTGTCATCAGCGGGTGCAAGCGGGGCCAATGGTAGCAGGGAACTGGGGGCCACAGTGTGAGGGGCTGGGCAGGGGCATGGAGGATGGGCAGAGACCTGCCCCTGTGCCCACTGTAGCCTTGAAGTCCACAGTTCCATTCAGGGTGCATGAATTCATGCACTGGGCCCCTAGTGTTAGTATAATTTACTAGATTTACAAGACCATTTAATTAGCTGGGAAAATATTCCCTGTTAGGCTTAGAATTGAAATGCTTAAAAACAAAACTTAAATATAATAATGCTATAAATGTAATTTAAACCTTTTATAATAATTTAATTAACTCAGATGTTAATGGATTGATCCTTCAAAGAGTTTAGTGTTTTCAATTTTAGTTAAATCTTAACTCAAAGATCCCCTTGAAAGTGATTATGGACACATTTATGTATAGAAAATAATATATTTTATAAAAATATAAAATAATAATAATTTGTGTATATCAAGTAAATAAAATATGTGTACAATAGCTTATAAATTGACCTTGCTTTATTATTTTAAGTAGCTTATATTAATCAACAGCTTCAAGAAAAAATAAACTTCTCTCTACTTAGAGCAAATAAACGATAGCCAGAGTTTTGAAGGTGCTTTTTCATAAAAGTCAAGGCCTATGTCGACATATGGTTCTAACAAGAGAGTTTGCCGGTCTCTGGTCTCTAGCCTTTCGCAATAGCCTCTGAAAACCAGATTTCATTGAGGAAATGTCCTAAACACAGTACCCTATTTTGAACTCTGTGCCCTTCCTGCCAATGTGAGAAGCTTCCTTCCCTCCTCAATTTGCTTCTTCCTTCCCACTTGCTATCCTGGGCAGAGCAGATGTGACTCAGAAACCGGTTTCTCAGGCTTGTAACTTTAGATGATGCACAGCGTGGGTCATTACGGGGTAACTAATACCTTTGTTTCATTGGGTTGGGCCCTCTAGAAGGTGGTGTTGCTGTCAGTGTCACTGAAAATGCACTCACAGGTGTGGAAAGACAGGGTTTGCCGCTGATCTGGACATCTGGGACCTTTCTCTCCGCCGGGAAGCATTTGGATGTTAATCAGGAATATCTACGGAAGATTCCAGAAGCTGTGGGGGTGAAGTAAGCCTATGAGAGACCAGCATGGGGATCCTATACTCTGAGGTAATCTTTCTGAAAATAAGATTCCAAAAGTGTTAAAAACTGCTGTTTTTCGAATGTAACTTCCTGTCCCTTCCTGTTAATCTGTCTGCTCTTCTTCTGTTGAACTTTCTATGAGTGCATTATGTCAAAACAACGTCCTCTGTGTTCATCTTTCTTATACTTTAAATATTTTAGGGCAAACTGTTCTTGTAATTCTAAAACGTTAGCTACATATAAGTAAAGAGGAATACAACATACATTTCGTGAATACACATGTTTGTGGGGGTATTTTGGACCTTGCAAAGTGGAGTTTGAGTTGTCCTATTGTGACATCAGACATCCTGAGGAAAAGTGAAAATTGTACCTAACTGGATTTTCTTAAACATACAAAAGATAGTCTGGTTCTCTTATGGAAATGCATATACAGAGTACCGCCTTTCAGCTTGGTATTTGAAAGGAAATTCACCTTTAGTAATTGTTAATGAAGACTTTCTCTGTATAGAAGAGAAATAAAAAACAATATATTTTCAAATATACTTTTTCGTTCTTTTTCACATCTGATGGATAAAAAAAATGCTTTTTCCTCTATTGAAAGTAGCCTATTAGAATCAAGTTAAATTTTAACTACGTTTCAAAGGCGAGCAAGTGAGTAATGCCTCAACAAGTACAAGAGACAGGATGGCATTATTATTCACTATTTACTCCCTCTAACACATCGACCGGTTAGTCTGCATTTCATTACAGATGCTTGACAAAACCTCATTGGGTGGTTCTTCTAGTATTTAAGGCAGTGTCTCCCCATTTGCAGTTACTTCTAATGCCAGGTGTGTGTGTGTGTGTGTGTGTGTGTGTGTGTGTGTGTGTGTGTGTGTGTGTATGTGTGTGTATGTGTTTACTTTTCTATAGTCAACGTGCTTTTTGATTAGTTTATAATTCTAGGTATGTGACTTTGGTCTGGTGAAAATGACAACACTTGTAAACACTCAAGCAACTCTCATGCTTTAGATTGCCTAAATGTCATCCAGAGAAAACTGTTTCAAGTGCCTCCTCCCCATGGAGTGTGTTTCCCTGTCTGTGGTAGTGTCAGAAACCTACTGTTACAAGACCTCCTGGTGGCACTGATGTAGGTGACCAGCTTACTACCACAGTGATCTAGGCTAGTGCTTCTCAAATTTTAATGTGCACCGATCACCTTGAGATTTTGTTTCCAATGCACATTCTTATTCTGCAGCTCTGGATGAGGCCCACGGGAAATTAGATTATACATATCAGCTCACTGATGCTTTTGTTGGTCCACATACCACACTGTTCATAGCCAGTGGAGAGTTAACTGCAGTCTAGGCCCCGGAAATAATTACATTTAAAAAAAGAACTCTGCATGAGCAGTGCAGTTGTTGGTTGATTGTGTGTTGATTTGGCAAGTGGTTGAGTCAAGGCAAGGCAGGGCAGGACATGTTGAATCGCTTATATAAGTATCAATGAGAATGTGCCCAGAGTGGATTATATGCTTCACTTTTCAGATCTATTGAGGACAAAGCAGCTTGGAATTTACTATATTTAAAAACAAATACAACAAACACACACACAAACACAACACACACACACACACACACAACACACACACACACACAGTGAGAGAGAGAAAACTCTAATTTACCTTGATGGTCATAGGTAACTAATCAAAACTCATAATGAATATTGAACCAAAAACAGTCTAAGGGAGCACTAAAATAACAAGTGGAAGTGGATTTTAGACTCTCCCAATTAAGGCTGTACACTGTCTACTTTAAAAATGTGAAACATCTGCCAAATGATAACTCAGTCATTTACCCTTTTGGAAAATAAATTTTCCATTTTCAGGATTCCCCTTAATATCAAACTTCTCCTCCACTTCCTCCTCCTCCTCCTCTTCCTATTCTTTCTCCTCCTCCTTTCTGTTTTTAGGTAAAAATGGCTATAAATGAGGGTAGGTAAAGGCACTGGCAAAACTAGAGTAGCAGGTTTCAGAGTAAAGGTCTAATCTCCCAGCAGGACAGCTGTGACGGGATGCTGCTTATGGAATGGCTGTGTTTGGTGTGTTTGCTCTGCTGTCTGGTTACTCTCCAGCAGCCCTGAACCCAGGAGATATTCCTGAGGTGCTCTCACTGAAATCCCACAGCGACTTTTCATTTTGGCTGATGGGTTTAGACATTTCTCATTTTCAGTTGACAGGTTTCACGGTATCCCAGAGCAATGCATTTGAGAGCTACACTGATTCTGCCAAAGGTTCAGAAAATCCTCAGTATCCCAAGACATCAACTTCTTGATATCTGGAATAACATCATGCTGTTAAATGTCCAGAATTAGAATCTGACTTCAGTGATGGATGAAAAATGCTGAAGGGAAATGCGTTTTTTCTAGATTGGAAGAAAACGTAGGTTGCTTGTTCCCGTTGCATTTGGGAGCTACATGTGAATGGAGAAAGGAAAATGAACAAGCTTAGCCTCTCCTTCTGCTATTCTGACCCAGAAGGTCCAGGGTGAACCCTCTGTGACACTCTCCCATCCATAATTTTAAATAGGTGGTGAAGCTCTTGAGTAATCTCTCGAATATTTAAACATTACCTACTCATGTGCATGTGCCAGTCTCTCATTCACCCTGTACCAGTCACCCTGCATTTCCTATAAAGAATGTGAACCATTAAATAAGAACAAGGCAAGAAACGTCCTGTCCTGACCCATCCCCTGGTTCTGTATTTCCCTGACACATTGGCTTTTATTTAAACTTTTTGTAAAGTTCAACTTCCCACTTGGAGTGTGAGAAGCTCTTTGAGATTGGACACACAGACTTAATGTGTTTTTTTTTGTTTGTTTTTGTTTTTAAAGCTGTAGGGGAGGAAAAATGCTTTTTTGCTTTACTCATCTTAGATCCATTGGCTGGGGCCCTGTTAAATAGACTGATAGCAGAAAACCAAACAGGAGTTTATGAACACCTGCATCAGGCATTCATATGAGATGAGTAACTCATCATGTGGTTAGAACTTGTGCTCATATAGCATCTTAATGAAATAATGAATTTTTAGTGGCAAGACAAAGGAAACAGACTGAGTTTCTGGGAGTGGCGAGTTATGGGAAGGCAAATATATAGGGAAGCTAATGAAAATAAGGGCTACTTGGTAAATGTTATTATGTAGATAGCGCCTTCTCTGGGCTAACAAGAATTACTTTTGGCTTCTTCTTAAAGAGGGAAGGGGGAACACCTTCACAAATTTATGTCCTGCTTTTAGCTAAATGGGGGTAGAGTGGAGAGCTTTTCTTGTATCCACTTCTTTTCAATTGCCTTAGGTTAAAATAATCTTTATGCTGAGAGTTGTATTTTGAATTGAATATTCTACTACCCTTCAGAACCTTGAATTGCTAATAGTGATGATATACATATATGTATATCATATATATGTTATATATACATATATGATAATGTTTTTTATTTTATTTATTTAAAAATATATTTTATTGATTTTTTACAGAGAGGAAGAGAGAGATAGAGAGTTAGAAACATTGATGAGAATGAATCATCAATCAGCTGCTGTTAAATGTCCACTGGGGATGTGCCCACAACCAAGGTATATGCCCCTGACCGGAATCAAACCCAGGACCTTTCAGTTCACAGGCTGACGCTCTATCCACTGAGCCAAAAATGGTTTTGGCTGATAATATTTTTTAAACTGAGGTATAATTGACCTAGATTAATTTCAGGAATATGATGTAATATTCAATATGTATATGTTGCAAAATCATCAACACAATATATCTAGTTAACATCCATCACCATACATAGTTACAATTTTTTTCTTATGCCAAGAACTTTCAAAATCCATCCTCCTATCAGCTTACAAATATACAATTCAGTGTTTTTAATTATAGTCACCATGCTGTACATTACATCCTCAGGACTTATTCATTTTGTAACTAGAAACTTGCACTTTTGACCTCAGATAACCACTAATCTGTTCTCCATATTCATGTGCTCCAGTTCTTTGTTTGTTTGTTTTGTTTTTATATTCCATATATAGGTGAGATCACACAATATTTATCTTTTCCTGTCTGACTTATTGCATTTAGCATAATGCCCTCAATGTCCAGCCATGTTGTCAAATATGGCAAGTTCCCTTCTTTTTATGGCTATTATTTGTGTGTGTGTGTGTGTGTGTGTGTGTGTGTGTGTGTGAGAGAGAGAGAGAGAGAGAGAGAGAGAGAGAGACGGAGAGAGAGAGAAAACCACATTTTTTTTTATCCATTCATCCACCAATTGGCATTTATACTGTTTTCAATTTTTTTAAGAAAGAAGGAGAGGCAGGCCTGCCTGGCTCAGTGGTTGAGCATCAACCTATGAACCTGGAGGTCATGGTTCAATTTCCTGCCTGGACACATACATGGGTTGTGGGCTCGATCCCCAGTGTGGGGTATGCAGAAAGCAGCTGGTCAATAATTCTCTCTCATCATTGATGTTGCTGTCTCCCTCTCCCTTCTTCTTTGAAATCAATAAAAACATATTTTTAAAAAGATGGAGAGAATGAGGGAGCATCCCAGAGTTTGGCCTAACATCTACGATACAGGATATGCTTGGAGCTCAGTGAGAGAATCTGGCTTAGAATAATCAATCTTTGCTGTGTAAGCTGGACTTTTAAACAGGGTGATTAATTTAAACCCTTATCACACATATTTGTGTTCATACTACCTACAACATGTTGGTAAGTTTACAAACATGTAATGAGGATGTTATATACCTGGCCATGTTCTTTATATGTATTAACACAGTTCATAAAACAACCATATAAATTGGTCACTATTATTGTCCTTATTTTACAAATGAAAAAAAAATGAGACAAAAATAGTTTAAGTAGCTTTCCCAGGATTATACAACTAAAAAGTACTTACTGGCTAGAGATCAGGGACTGGGATACGAGAACTATGTTTGTATATTCAGGAGAATTCTGCTTACATCACTAATGAGCACACTAAATTCTTTTTCTGCTTGCTCTCTCAACAGGGGTGTCATACTCTAAAAAGGAGTTGGTCTTAACCACTGCCATTCTTCCAGTGTTCCTCTCTACTAAGATATAATACTGTTCTTTTCCCTTAGTGAAAAGAATGGAGTAAACTAAATCCAACTTTCATTGAGGTACATTCTACTCCTATTCTGCAAATGTGCTTCAAAGTATGGCAAAAACTGGAAAAAAGGAAGGTGTGTAAGAACTTAACTCAAAGAACTTAGGAATTTGTGCTTAGCAGACCTATAGAATCTTCTGTAGATGCTTGACTCTGTCAGCTGGAGATACAGGCTTTAAAAAAAAATGTCTTGAAAAATATATCAAAATGATGTATCCTTTTTAACTTTGAGAAGGTCTAATGATATGGTTATTATGAGCAGAGGGATATACTGTCCAACTCCAATGTGCATATGCATATACGAAACACACATAACATACATGTATGTGCACATGCACACATACACCCTTAATATCAATCTTTGGGAGTGGGTCTATTTTTCAGATGTTACTATAAGAAAAAGGAACATAGTTCAAAGAAGAGAGGTATTGTTTTGAAATATACAGTGTCCAGAGAGTTCTATTTAGGTTGAGCAGGGCTCATCGGAAGAGCTGTAGAGTTGAGGAGAACTCAGGGAAGACAGAATAGAGATGTGACTAATGGGAAGGCTATTGGATTGGAAATCAAGAAAACCTAGAAAGTTTAGAAATCAAGAAAATTTAGTTCTAACTGTGCCAGGAAGTCTATGGGACTTTGAGGAAATCATTTAACCTCTCTAATTTATAGTTCCAATTGTTCTAACAAGAGAGCTGGGTGAGATCCTATTCTAATAGTTCTCACACAAGAGAGCTGAGTGAGATGTTCAACATGATGTTTATTCTATGATATAGGAAAAGGGAATGCAAGTTAATTGGAAAAAGAATTGCCTCACTTCACAGTCTTACCAGTTCATTCTCTCTCTACATCCAGCAAATTTTTGGCATTCTATATTCAAAAAGAGCACCTGGACTAACACCCCAATTGGTGTTTTGAGTCTTCCCTTGTATATTATAAGTGATTTTACAAATTATAATGTGTTACTAAGTCACATTTCAAAAAGGAAATAACTCTAATGTATAACAGACCTATACTGTAGCTTCTTAATGTATTTCTACAACCTGGTACTTCAAGCAATTATATATTTTTATGCATCTCATGTAGACACTTTCATTGATTTTCCTAAATATCCCCCATCATGCTTAAAGAGCCTCTTCCACCTTTATCACAATTTTCTCTTCTAAGTTATTAACCCATTCATCTATGTAAACATAATTGCTATTTACAGAGTTGTCTATGTGTATTTATTTGGGATAAGTACATATTAGCATACTAGTAAAGAATGAAGATGAAATCTCAACCTTTCTGGCAAAAATATCAACAAATGTAAAGTTCTCTCTACTCCAAATCTCTGTTCTTCTTCCCTGGCTTTGGCCTTAGATCCAGAGTTGTCATTCTATTTAGTAAGGTACATGCATCCATTTTTGTTCTCTAGACTATCATCTCTTCACTCTCTTTGGGCAATTATCTACTCTTTCATAACCACTCCTGCCCAACAGCACTGGGTCCTTATGTTTTGATAATTATTAGTGTGGCTAACATTAACTGAGGGTTTATTGAATCAGATCTGAGTTAAATGCTTCATCTACAAATCACCTTTAAATCTTTCTGTAACCTGATAAAGAAGATGTAACTATTAAAGTCATAAGGAAACTGAACATAGGAAGTTTAATGTCCAAATAACTGTTACATGGCAAATTGAGATTGGAACTCAGAAATTTGCTTCTAGAGCCTGTACTTATAACCAGTCGACAACACCACTTTGACCACAAATGTGCAGAATGATGGCCATATTCTGCTACTCTTGTCCACTTGCAAGTTCCCTCTGAGCTTTCATTGCCAAATTTACCACAAATTCCTCTCCAATCAAATCCTCTAATTCTTCATAGACCATGTATGCATGCCTTTGTATTCTATCTTCTGCCTTCTCACTATAAAAACTGATCTCTGAATGGTCAGTGCTTTTATGACACTGAACTGCCCCCTAGCGGAGACTGAGAATTTATAACATCATAAAATCTTTTCAGCTGTTTTTCAACCCATGTAACAATACTTGTATGTTTAGAACAAACATTGAGTCCCTAACGAACCTTGTAAGATTTGCTATTTTTTGGAGGATGGGTTGGAGCTGAATGTGTGAGGCTAAGAAGTAAGGCCAATTAAAGACTGGTTTGCAACAGATCTGGTGAGAATTATGATCTGAACTGGTGCTTTGGCAGTGAGGATGGGCAGGGCGGGTTCTGATTGTGTTTGGAGATGGAATTATCATGGTAAGTTTCCGAATTCTCACTGGTTTCCTCTACAGTGCAAGTTTCTCCAAGTTTTAAGAATTTTAGAGGCCAACAGAATTCATACTGTTCCTTCAACCCAAAGGGGCAGCCCCACTTCTCTTTCTCATTCTTAGCGTGCCAACCAGCATTTTTCTACTGGATTTTCTGTCTTTTCCTTTTTTTTGCTTTAGTTAATTCTCAGTAAGGATTTTGAGGAGCCCAAGTAGAGAAGGCTTTACATGAAGTATCCCGTGGGAATGTGTACCAGTATTGTCAAATCTTTCCATTTTTTTGTGTGTGGGGGGAGTGGTACAGAAAAACATAGTTCTTTGTACATTTCTGTGTGCCATGCAATTTAGGAAATCTGTGGTTAAATTATACTTATATTTCAAAATCTGCTTTTTTATTTTATTTTTTTAAATTTCTCCTCAGCCTATCTGCCAAGCAGCCTATCAGAACGACTTTGGTCAAGTGTGGCGGTGGGTGAGGGAGGACAGCAAGTACATCAACATTCACGATGGCTTCAATGGAGACACTCCCCTGATCTGCGCCTGCAGGCGAGGGAACCTGAAAATCATTTCCTTCCTTTTAAGGAGAAATGCTGATGTGAACCTCAAAAACCAGGTGAGGCCATGATGCAGCAGTGGAGAAAGTAGTTGCCCATGGCACTTACTCTTAGCATAGATGGAAACAGAGAATGTCATTTTCTGATGCTTGTAGCTCCTGACACCAACAATTTCTGTTTTATCTTACTTTAGAGCAGTGGTTCCCAATGTGGGTCACATGCCCCACAGGGGGGCAATTTGATTTTTAAGAGGGGCAATTTGAGAATGAGTTATTAACAGTGAACTTTTTGCATTTCTTGTGATTCGAGGGGCCTCATTTGAGGTATATAAATATATGTTGTGACATATTTATGCATTTTAGTCTATTATATGTTTCGGAACTTTATTGACTATTTTTTTCATATTACTTCATATTATTATTATTTTTAAAAACAATTTCTTAGTGATTTCTTCCTTAGTCCTTCAACTGTCCTTTTGTTCTTTAATTTTCTTTTTCATGGATACCATGTTCTTTGAAGCTTGTTTTAGACCAAATTAATGGCCTTCCAGGCTTACTTCACAGGAATAGGAGCTCACTTTTTGAATAATAAGAATTACATGTCACAGAGAGGACATCAGGATTTCAGAGATGTTTAGGTGGGGCATGGCCAACGAAAGGTTGGGAACCACTGCTTTAGAGAGACTGACACATACTGAGGATATTTTATTAGGCTAGAAAGTGAAATAAAATGCAATTATCAGGCATAGTTTGTGGTTAATTAAGTCCTTAGAACTTCTGAAAAGGAAGAGAGTGGTTCATTCAGATGTCTGGCTAGAGCTTCCTTTCTTTTCTTTCTCCTTCGCTTGTTTTTTCCTTGCCCCTCATTCTATCCCAGCTCCACCTCCTCACTATTACAGGGGCAATCAGAAAAAATTTCCTAGGGGTGTGTGTGTGTGGGGGGGGGGGATATTGACCTGCTGGCCAATATTTCATTAGTTTCATTGCATTTCTACTTTCTGTGACAATGTACTGATCTTCAGAAGACCCTATAGTTTGTGTATAGAATAGAAGAATGCCAGTGAAAAACTTGCCAAAGACAAATAAGCTCATGAGCCAGAGGTTACTGTAAGATGTAATATTAGCTGACATGGAGTCTTCAGTGAAGGAGCAGAATGCGTATCTAAGGCTGTGAATATCCTTTGAGAGCCTCTTTGGAGGTTTCGGTGTCTGCATTATAGTAAAGGCAGCCTTTCAAGTCCACTGAGTAAACATAAAAAGTCAACGCTTGTAAATAATTTTGAATGCCCTATATCCACTCATGTATATTCTGTGAGGGGAAAACAGCCTGTGAGGCCCCACTTGCCCCTTCTAAGCCAGTTTAAAGATCAACCATTTGGAGTAATAATGCATTATCAGAAAAAGAAGTCATTACTGGACTTGCTTGTTTGTGCTTACTATTTTTTTTTTTAATTTGGTTTCAACGTCATGCCTGTGCTAACTCTAACCGATCTACCGATCTGATCTCCCAGCTGAAGAACCAGGTGTGTGGAGTTCTGAGAGGGAGTGGTGAAGACAGATGTCAATGAGTCACATCCTCTCTCAGGAGATTTACTATTAGGAAACTGAGGGAGGGAGATGTTTGCCAACTCAGGGACAGCTACAGATACAGATACAAATACGGATACAGATACAGATGAATCTTGGTCTGTGAAATTGACCCAGATTAGAAATGAAAGTCAAGTGTTGATGAAGAAGAAAGCTTAAATCATTATCGTTTTACTGGAGCACAATTTAGTAGCACAATATGAAAAGCACTAATACCTTTTTATGCCAGGAATCACATTTTTAGAAAATTATGCTAAAAATAAATTTAAAAATGTTGACAAATCTTTGTGAATGAGGATGGTCAAGTAGCCTTATTTTTATAAAAATCAAAAGTTAAAGACTCAAATGCCCAATGAGTAGGGTTTAGCTAAATAAGTTAGAGTAGTTCTATTCGATTAAAAGCCAAACAGCCTTTAGAGGTATATGTTTGAAAACATTAAATGGCATGGGGAGATGCATATATTCTAAATGTTCATTGAAAGAAAGTATATACAATGTTGCAGATGCTGTGTGAACCTACATTAAAAAAAATCCACCTACATGCATTTTATAAGATGGGAAGGAAAGTCAACAATTAACTCTGGGCTGTTTGTTAATGGGCGCCTTTGCTTCATTCTATTATTATCTTCTTGCCTCATGTACACAACTTTCCAGAGAACACGCATACTTTTATGTTAGAAAAACCAAAAGTGTTATTTAAGAACAGTGCCTCCCCCAAATGGAAGTTAACCACCCTTTTTGTCTCTGGCTTTCCCTCTCTTCTCATTGATTTGGTTGATTTTCCAATCACAACAGCCTGTTCTGCATTGTACTTACGTGGCCATGTTTCTAGCTCCCTTTGTTGATTATGAGGCCCAAGGCTTTACATTCCTCACAATCCCTAGAAACGTATGTCTAACACCTGATAAATATTTATGTACTTGAAGAATTAAATTGAGTTATTTCCATTCTTCTAGCACTGCCTATATGCATGTAGAAACAAGAAAAATTGCCATGTGGTTAAGATTTGTTCATTAACAAACCACAAAATGAATAACTGTATATATACTATTGGTGATTAAGATTTCTGTATTGAATTTAGTCTTATGTTTATATCTGAATGTATTTTCTCCAAACAACTAAAATGAGTATGAAAAATCCATATTTTGATGATTTATAAAATGTACATTTCACCTGTTCTCTTTCTGTGGCCCTCCCCCAGCTTTTTCTTCAGACTGTACTAGGACTCTGTTCTCATCAATGGAAACTTGGGTTTATTCATCAGATATACTCAACAGAATAAAGGTTGCTCTGAATACCATAAGAACGAAAAGCACAAACTAACTTTTGATAGGGTAATCTGAAAACAGGAAATTTGAAATGAAATATTTATTCATGAAGAGTTTTTTTTTCTTTTCTTAATTTTTAGAAAGAGAGAACCTGCTTACATTATGCTGTGAAGAAAAGATTTACCTTCTTTGATTATCTACTCATTATCCTCTTAATGCCTGTCCTGCTCATTGGATATTTCCTCATGGTGAGTTCACTTGTGAGAGCAAAGAGTCAGTGAGTAGGAAATCAGTAGCATGCCCCATCAAGGTTTTCTGGGCCAGTGAGAAGTAAAGGAATAGTAACAAAATAAGATCTTGGTTTGTATTCTATAAGTGACATTTCCAACATACATGCGATGCTGTGATTAAAGAATAAAGCAAGAAGGAAGGTAGCCAAATCAATCAATCAATAGTACATAGGCGCATAGGGGGTATTGAGATTAAAATGAAGCCTATTCATTGAAATAATCCAGGCATAAGATGAAGAAAAAGTTTTTTAAAAAACCTCTTGTACTTGCCATTTGTCATAGGTATCCAAGACAAAGCAGAATGAGAATCTTGTCCGAATGCTCCTTGATGCTGGCGTGGACGTTAATGCTGCAGACTGTGTATGTTTGTATTTTTAGCCACTGTGAAATACTATAATATTCAAAATGGTATTTGTAGGTCGTGTACTTATATTAAGTTGCTTGGTTTATTTTCCTTGACTCTTTTTTTTTTTCACTGCCAGTTAGGTGATCTTGAGGTTGTTTATATACTGCCACTAAATTCATGGGAATAACATCTTTATTGAATACAGAACATTAAAAAAAAAAAAAAAAAAAAAGCTGCTCCACCATTTGTTAGAAGTTAAGGAAGATGAAGGCTCTGATAACAAAATTCCTCCTTGGTAGTTAAGAGGCTGGCGTCAGAATGCCTTCATGGAAACCCAGGCTTGCCACTTTTTACCTGTGTGCATTTTGGCATGTTATAAACTTCCTGGTTGTTCTGTTTCCTTCTCTGTAACATGAGCATACAGATAAGTTACAGGACTGACTCCTGTAAAGCACTTAGCAGAGTGCCTGAGTGTGGTTCTTGCTCAATGAACGTTAGCAGCTGCTACTAAAGCCAAGATCCCAATCAGGAAAGAGAGTCCCGACCTGCGAGCTAAGGAAAACTAAGGGCAAAGGTCAAGGAAAAATCCAAATGGTGGTGAGAGCAGTGAGAGCAACAGGAGCAGCCTCAGCTGACTTCCCCTTAATAATAGGTTTTGCTCTCACCTCTTACAACTGCAGCCTTGAACTCATCTTCCTCCCTTACATGATCAGAAGTGTTTCAAAATAATTATTTGTAAGGAGTTTTATTTGCTTATATTGATTGAATGACATTTTTTATTTCTAGTTCTTTACTGAAAACGCAGGCCAGTCAAAACTGGATTTAAAAATAACCAATATTCTGTTTGTGACCTTTAATTTATATTGTACATATCTATATGTACTACTATTCTATGTTCTGTGATAGATAAATGTCTTCATCCCTGTTTACATTAATCATTTACATATTTTTTGGGTTATATTGGTATTATGTTTAAATGGAGGTAGTTCTCATTCTCTCTCTCTCTCTTTATGAGTATGTGTGAGTGTGTGAAAAGAGAGAGAGAGAGAAAGAGAGAGAGAGAGAAAGAAAAAGAGAGAGAGAGAAATAGAGAGAAAGTTAATGAAATGTATGCTTTTCCTTTTATTTCAAATATAATTTTTTGATTAATTTGGATGGACTACTACTGTGAATCATCATCTTCTTAGATAACTTTGAAATATATTAAGATGTTATTAAAATTAAGTAAAAGGTAATTAAAAATGTTTAAAATTTTGCTTGTAAACAAAATTTCTCTCTAGTTATCTATGCCTGCCTCTATCTCTAGATAAGTATATTCCTATGCATGCTCACACATATATGCACATACATGCACATATTTTACCATTTACATTTATAAAAAATGACCTGTATATTAAGATCCAATTTCCAACTCCAAGTAATGCAGCGTATTATATCTTTTAGACTTTCTTTATTTCACATGGAAAAATTCAGAGCCAGATCTATGGGATTTTTTAAAATAAAGAACCATCGAGGATGATATCTACAAAGTGGCCCATATGGTGACTCTCAGGAAAGAGATGGTCACATGATCACAATGCTGATGGGCCAGACATACAGAAAATATCTCAAGAAATTTTGGGATAATTCAGCATTTGCCTTTTATAAGTTGCATTTTTTTTTTTTTCAGTTTGAACAGAAAATGAGGAAGGTGAGAAAGGAAGATATTGATGGCTTATTGAACATTAATAATGTACATACTGGGGCAGAAAAGACTTTAAAAACAAGACATACCATTACACATAGATGGTTGCAGACCGTTTGGCTTAGTTGAATACTAGGAAATGAGCAGAACACTTGCTAAGCTTGCTAAGAAGCCTCGTGCTGCAGTCTGTAGAGTCCGATGGGTGAGCTGCATGTTGGTCCTTTGTGTTTCAGTATGGCTGCACGGCATTGTACTACGCCTGCGAAATGAAAAACCAGACTCTTATCCCCCTGCTCCTAGAAGCCCATGCAGACCCCTCGATAAGAAATAAGGTAAGAAACTGGCCCCAGGGCCTGAAGTTCTCCAGCTCATGATCTTCTATCTTGGGCCTTGTATGGAATTAAGTTAATGGCTTCTGATGTAAACAACAAAATTAATCATCCTATTAAACATTAATCATCCTGTTAAGCATTATCCCATTACTGTTAGATCTGAATAACATTTAAAGTCTTTGCCAAGCCTGAGAGTCAATCCGTCTAAACTGTTGGCTGGACTCTTAAGAAACAATCTTTTCTTTTCTCTTCAGAATGGTGAGAGTCCCCTGGATATTGCACGAAGATTGAAATTTTCGCAGATTGAATTAATGCTAAGGAAAGCATCGTAACGCTTGTGGCCTCAGATGGAGAAGTAGAAACAGCTAAAGGACTGGATTCCGTTGCATCTTGGACTATTGGTCTGTGGGCCACTCAACTGGATGCAGCCATTTTATGGTGATGATGAGGGTTGTTGCCATGGATACTGTTTTTGAAGAGCTCTGTAGTCATGCTTTTGCTCAACCGACTTCACCATGGCCCCAGTCCTTGCAGGGGAAACACTAACGCTGTTGAATTCTCCACTTCCGTCAAAATGTGATGCTTCAAAACCAGTCTTTCCTGAAGTAGAGAATCCGTGTTAACTCGGACAGTGATCTCTCTTCTCAGCTGTGCGCTCTGATGGAGGCTGTCCTGTCCATCTCATGCCCCAGGAGACACTGTTCCTCTCAGGCCCCTTTAAGTAGTAGGAGGGGTGGATGTATGTACATTTGTATAGAATGGTGTGTGTATGTGTGTGGGTTTAAAGGTTCACATATGGATGTTCCTTTGGCAAAACAACTTCAGCAAAAACATGTTTCAGTTGTAAGTGATGGCAGTTTTACACCACCGAAATTGGCAAATGCTAAAATCAAGCCTTTTATTTTTTTCTTTCTCGAGAACCAGTTTACCAACATACTGCTAAACACTTTGCTATCAGTTTACAAATAAAGGCTATCTTGATTTTGACCAAGACTATGTAACTATCAAGATGTTTAGCCTGGCTGGCATGGCTCAGTGGTTGATCATCTACCTATGAACCAGGAGGTCACTGTTCAATTCCTGGTTAGGGCACATGCCCAGGTTGCTGGCTCAATCCCCAGAAGGGGCATGCAGAAGGCAGCCAATCAATGATTCTCATCATCTATGCTTCTATCTTTCTCTCCCTCTCCCTTTCTCTCTGAAATCAATAAAAATATATTTTTTAAAAAAGATGTTTGTTTAGAAAGATCTTTGATTTGCTTGGGAATGTAAGGAAGCTACTAAACTTGCTAGTTCTCTTTATTTTTATTGATAAAATTTAAAATATTACTATAGTTTATCTAGATAAATTGTTTTAAGAAATAGAGCTATCAGTCAGAGAAAGAGAAATATCACATGATCTCACTCATTTGTGGAATATAATGAACAACATAAACTGATGAACAAAAATAGAACCAGAGTCATAGGAGTATCGAACAGATTGTCCAAGCTATGAGGGAAGGTGAGGGGTAAGGGGGTAAGAGATCAACCAAAGGACTTGTATGCATGCACATGAGCATAACCAATGGACACAGATGGGAGCAGGGGGGGTGAGGGCATGTGCTGGGGGAAGAGGGTGGCCGGGGAGAGGTCAATGGGGGGAAAAGGAGACTTAGGTAATACTTTAAACAATAAAGAATTTAAATAAAAAAGGAAGAAATAGAGCTATAGGATTAGGTAGTATCTGGATTAGAGATAGAATCAATATGAGAGATAGAATACCAAAATATCTGCCCAAGTCCTTTGTCAATGAGGCAGAGTGAAAAAAATGTATTTTTTAAAATTATTAAATTTTACAAATGAATGATTTATTGAATCATGAATGTCTTTAGACATAAACTAAGTCACACAGTATGTGGTAACAAATATGTCTAAGAATGAAAGATTTGCCATCTTTGAACAGAACAAAGTTCTAATAAATATCAAATCTAGGCATATTTATTGAACTATGTATAGGGCATTAAGGCACATATTGTGTGAGAAAAGAAGTACTGTGTAGATATGGATCCTAAAGCCTTTAATGCATCTTAATAAATTATTTAATATCCATTCACACTGTACTGAGTGAGCAGGTGATTCTAGAATATTTTTAAATTGTGAACTTCACACATCAGTTACCTTTGATAGACACACCAGTATACCTTCAATTCAGAAGTTTTCAAAATTGTGCTTTGGGGCCCATTCGGTCTGGTTCAGAGGTTAGCATTGACCTATGAACCAGGAGATCATGATTCAATTCCTGATCAGAACACATGCTGTGGTTGTAGCTAGATCCCCAGTAAGAGGCATGCAGGAGGCAGCTGATTAATGATTCTCTCTCATCATTGATGTTTCTATCTCTCCTTTCTTCCTTTGTGAAATCAATAAAAAAAATATTTTTTTAAATTGAGCTATTGGTTCCAGAGTTTTGCAAAATTGTACAATTACTCATATACCTTATATCTGTCATATTTTACACTGTGTGAGAAGCAAACAATTTAAAAAAGAAATAACCAAATTTTTTTAATGAGCAGGGAAATTGTCTAACAGTAACTTTGTCAAGATCAAAGGACAAAATACATGACAATTTGTTTTATTATGTTGCTGACATTATAAAATTTTCTTCCTAGCGTTTCATTTCTGGAGGCAGAAAGCTGGGTCATACATTTCTAATCAAAAGGTCTCTGCAACCCTCAAACAAGCTTGTACTAGAATTTAGGCACTAAAATACACATACGTGCTTTATTCAGTGCATAATGCATTTATTAAAAAACTCATAAAAATTCTACAAAAGTATGACATGTGAGACTCAACTATACAACTTGGCTCCTTTGAAGATGCTTAAATATATTTTATCCACACTGTACATTGATTTTTGGGTTTGGATGTATTTATTTATTTATTGTTAAAGCAGCTTGGCTTTCTGAGGTAGTGTTGTGTCTCTATGGTAATAAGATGAAAATGTCTAATGTGTTTTGTGAAAGCCGACAATGATCCAGAGACTTAAGACCTCTCTCTCTCATCCCAATTTTTCAGTTTACTTTATTCCCAAAATATGGCTTATAGAAAAATAAGTATATGTTTTAGTGAAGTTTACCTAAATGACAAAGAGAATGTTTTGATAATTTCTAGCTCTCGAATAAAGCCTGCCCTTCAAGATGACAGACTCTATAATATCGCGTGAAACCTGTGTTCAGCCAATGAGCTGTTTAATTAACCAAAAAAAAAAAAGTTAATGTCATTTTCTTCCTCCCTCCCCCACCTCTCCTCTTCCCTTTTACTGTTAGGAAAGGTTTTCAAGTCCTGCAATACTTAAAATCCTCTGTTCATGGACCCCAGCCCCATCGTCTACAAGGTTTTTCCTTTGACTTGTCAGTATCAGATGCTTCACAGACTGAGTCCACACGTTCCCTGGTAAAGGCTGGCCCACATGTTCCGTGGGAAAGGCTGGTCTCCTCCTCTTGCATCATGTGTATGATTTCATTGTACAGACGTTGAGGAGCATCCAACCCCCAGATGAAGTCTATGTGCGCCCATTCGGGAATGTTCTTATGGTAGATGAGGTTGTTCAGTTCGGAGAGCAGTGTTTTCACATCTTCTGGGTTTGAAAGCCAGTCCTGGCCTCCAGTCCACATTGCCGTAGGGACCGTCATGTCTCCAACTTTGTACCTTACAGGAGTTGGCTAGAAAAAGAAGAGTTGTTAGCTGTAGATCACATTTGGACTTCCAAACTCATAATGTACACCCCAAATAAACATTCTAAATATGTGTTGTGATTAAAAAAAAAAAAAGTAAGTACACAGGCATTGGAGCCAAGCAGAGCAGCATTTGGAGTTTCTGTTTCAGCACCTACTTGAAGGTAAGATTACTCAACCTCAGTTTCTTTATCTGTGAAATGGGGATATCTGAAATCACTTACTAGGTTAATGATAAAACATGTACATTGCTTAGCACTTTAAGCATTACTTTTTAAATTGTTTTTCTTAATAACAATAAATATTTTAAGCATAAATTGCCATTAAAAGATAACTTCACAAATGTTTCATGAGGCCAGAGTTAGAGAAATTCTACAGAGAAAGTTGAGAGAATAGAACCTACTGAGAAGGACTCTGCTCTGGGGCTCACAGGTATTTTCTATGATTATAAAAAGCCCTTAAAGCAGGCCCAGCCCTGGCTGGGTTTAACTCGGTGAATAGAGTGTCACCTCATGTGGCTCATGAGCCGCAATTTGCCGACCATGAAGATAGGATAATAGAAGTTTGTACCTTTTGATCCCTTTCACCATTTCCCACCCAACTCATCACCCTGTCTCTGACAAACACAGATAAATGGTCTCTGTAAGATACTATAAAAACAACCTCACTCCTGCCATTTTCATTGGTGATTTTTAGGTTTCTTGTCAAAAAAGGATTCTTGTAGTCATAGCCACCAGAGACCACACTCTTCCCTTTACTAAACCCACCCTGCCTTGCTCCTACGAAGCCCAGGGCCCCCTTCATGGAAGCAGCCTCTCAAAGAAGTTCTCCATTGTGAAGGCGGCAGGCCTTGTGGCCCCGCTGTGAACATCCCCATTTTTAAATGGAGTCAAACCCCGACTACTTTTATTTTCCATGCCCACCTCTACAGCAAATTGCCGTTAGACCTTCCCGGTCATGCACTTATGAAGGGTGGTATTGGTTTTCTTACCTGATTGCCTTTCTCTAGATTTTTAGTCTCGCTCCCCCAGTCAAAAGCCCGGAGTTCCCCAGAATTTGCTGCCTAAAAGGGAACAAAAATGTACATGGCATTCAAATGTATCCAGGAAAAGAGTGGAAGAGGGGTGGAAATGTGCTCCCAAGACTGCAATTGTGGGGGAAGCAGAGAGCAGAGACTGTTCAGCGTTAGGTTAATCTTCAGGGAAGTACAAAGGCAAGAGGAAGACCCTTTCGGGAGAAAACTTCTGTACTGCAGACATACTTGGCCACCATGTCATACAACTCCAGGAGGTGCATCCCCAGAGATGCCTATGTGGTTGGTATCTGTACAACTATGTAGGCTACAAAGGGCAAAGCTCTCCCTGGTGACTGTGACAAGCTGACCGAATTCTTTAGTTTTAATTACAAAATTTTCCTCTCCTCTCCTCTCTCTCTCTCTCTCTCTCTCTCTCTCTCTCTCACACACACACACACACACACACACACACACACACACACACACAAATATAACAATTGTACCAGGATAATTTCACTAGACTCTAAGTTGCTACAAAACCAGAAAGCAGACAGGGCCAATATTTATGATATATAGTTGCCATCACTACTCTTAAAACTCTCTGCTTGAGTTAAGACACCCCCCCCTTTTTTTTTTTTTTTTAACAAAGTGGTATTTTTAAAACATGAGAATCCAAGGTTAGTTATGTTCTCGCTCTGTCCTTATTCCATCCTTATTTCCACAATCATTCAGGGCCACTCCATAGTGTCATCTCCAATGAGCAATATTATTAGGTTCAGTGCTTCTTCATTGATGAAAGAATCATTCACATGCACGTTGTCCTTGAATCCATTCAGAATGTCTTATTTCAGCTCTGCCTTCTTTAGTTCATGTGACTGGCGATCAAGGCTTGCCATCCTGTGTTGCAGGTTAGTCTTTCCCTCCTGTGAGGCCTCTTTGGGTAATTAGTTGCTGCCTTACACATTTGTTACTACTTGACCCGCTGCTGGAGGAGTCTCCAATTATCTTCTCCAGCCTCATTTTGAGGTTGCGAGAGACAGAGAAAGGTCTCAATCTGACATCACAGTTTTAAGGTCCACTAAAGATATCCGTGGCTAATCCTTTCCTCCCATCTTCTGAAAAGTTTCAACGTTCTAGATTACATTTCATCTCATAACAAATATGAAATAACCCCTGGTTTATCAAAAGGACACTTTTCCCACAGATACTTACTTGGCGAAAACGACAAATTCAACATCATT